CTGTTAGGACTGCACGGACATATTTCCTGGGGGTGGGGGGGGAAACACAACACATCTCAGGCCTAGCTCTGCACCATCGACAGTCCTCAACCTGCAGCCTCAGCTGGGCCCAGAATTTCCGCCATTAGCCAAGACGGTCGTTAAGTGAGCTGTGTCCAATTTTACGACCTCCTACCACTACCTGCCCCCCCCCAACAGTGAGGTCGTAAGTGCAAAGCCTGGCTGTTAAGTCCCTTTTCCCAGTGCCGTCGCAACTTTGAGTGGCTGTAAGTCGAGGACCTACATAAGGACTGAGGCAGCAGCCGTGTCGAAGGGAAGGCACCCCTGCCGGGAATATCCCACCAGCCTCGTAGCCCTGAGTGAGGGGGGCTGCTTGAATGAAACGTGATTAAACCATCCGGATTGAGACGTTCCCGGTTTTTCTTCTGTGGATGCAACCTGGGAAAAGTTTGAATGAACTCTTGGGATTCTCCCTTTCGGAAGGAAGGAAGAAACAGCCTGTTGTCTTCTATGGGCCTGGCCAGTCCTGCTATTAAAAGCTTCCTTTTATACCTCGGCTATTTTTACAGATGGCATGCCTACTCGGGCCGGCCAGAAAAACACAGAGGTGCCTTGGATTTATTTTGGTGTCCTTGAATAATGTCCAAGCCTGTTGTCGCTTGTACCCTCTTCTTCGTCTCCTTCCTCGGCGCGCCGGAAGTCAAATTAAAAAAAAAGAAAAACATTCTGTTTTGAACGCTTTAAGCAGTTCGCCTTAAATCAGCATGCCACTTAACCACCGTCTGTTTTTAGTGACCGTCGGAAGTTACAACAGCACTGGGGAAAAGGGATCAATGACCGTTTTTCACACTTTACGACCGTTGCAGCATCCCAGCGGTCTCGTGATTGTTTTGACCGAGGCTTCCCAAGAGCGTGAAGTCCCGACAGAAAATCCTTTTCAGTGGAGGACTATCTGGAGTGCTAGAAGCTGATTGGTCTTCCCTCCTGCCTATTTATCTCTCGCGTTGATGCTTTAAAACAGGGGGGTCAAGCTCAAGGCGATGTGGTCAGATCCAGCCCATGGGGCCGTCTGTTCTGACCCAGGCTTCCCAAGAGCATGAAGCAAACTCCTTGTCCTGACAATAAATCCCTTTTATTAATTGACGGTGAATTCTGCTCATTCACCTCCAGCAAAGTCTTTCGAGGGAGGATTTACAGTCACAGACCTTATC